AGAGCCAGCACAATGTAAGATTTGAGAAGTGTGAGAGAGTGTTTGACAGAAGGGAACCACAAGGGTGATTTGGGGATTGGATGGAGTGAAGTTGAATGACCAATGACTCCTTGGTCAAAGAGGGAGAATGTTATGGTGTAAGTAGGTTGCTGTCATAGGAGATGTCAGAGGAGGGATAAGTCTGGAATATAATTAGCCATAGGGGGAAGGTTATCAGGAGCCAGGAAGTTGTGAAGCAGAAATGGCCTACCATACATAAGCTCAAAAGGGCTAAAAAAAATAGACACCCTAAGGAGTGCTTGGAGTTTAGTCAGAGTGAGGGGTAAAAGCTAAGGCCATGGCAAGTGCAGCTCTGATAAGTTTGTGAGATGTGTTTTTAGGAGCCCATTTGCCTTTTTTACTTTTTTGGAGGATTGTGGCTGGTATGGTGTATGTAAATGCCAGGTAATATTGAGACTTAAAGAGACCTGTTGGTTGATCTGGGAGATAAATGCTGAACTATTATCTGACTGGATAGTCTGAGGCAGGCCAAATCTGGGAGTAATGTCCTGTATGAGAGTTTTAGAGACTATATCAGTGATTTCTTGAGCAGTGGGGAAAGCCTCTATCCATCCTGACAAAGTAGAGAAAAAAGTGAGAAGATATCCGTGAGTTTTGTGGTGAGGCATGTGTGTGAAGTCAATCTGCCAGTCTTTATCTGGGGTATGTCCAAGGAGTTGGTGGGTTGGGAAAGAGGGAGGTGGCAGATGTCCCTGAGGAGAGGTTTCGGCATATAGTTGACAGTTTTGAATGACTTGGCATATGATTGTTTTTAAAGAGGGATGAGTGATGATGGGAGCTAGGAGTTTATATAAGGCCTGAGTGCCAACATGGAAGCTGTTGTGTAAATCAGTGATGATAGTTTGTGCCTGTTGGTCTGGAAGAACAAGCTTGGACCCTTGGGAAATTTACTTGTGTGTGTTTTGGTGAAGGTCAGGTCTTTGGAGCAAGTGTTGGGGTGAGGGCATGGTCTTTGGAATAAGATGAAGAAGGTGGGAAGTGTATGACTGTTGAGCAGCTAGCTTGGCCTACATATCTGTAAATATATTTCCTTGAGCAATGGTATCTATTGAATTTTGATGTCCCCTGTAATGTATAACTGCCGCTTGTTTTGGGAGCTGTGCTGTCTCTAGAGGTTTGAGGATGAGTAGTACATTGGTGATAGGACTTCCCTGAGTTGTAATGAATCTTCTTTTTGCCAGATGGCTGTATGAGAGTGTAGAATGCTGAATGTGTATTTGGAGTCTGTGTAAATGTTTATCACCTTGTCCTTGGACAATGTAAGTGCTCGTGTAAGGGCTATGAGTTTTGCCTTCTGTGAGGACGTCCCTGGTGGCAGTGGGCCTGCCTCCATCACTGTTGATCTATTGACTATGGCATATCTTGCTCTCTTTTGAGTGTCTGTGTTGTTTGAGCTGCCATCTATGAACCATGTGTTGGAGGCCAAGGAAGAGGAGTGCTGTTGATGTAAGGAAAGGGGACAGATGTCATCTGTAAAACCTCAACACAATTGTGTTCAGGAAGCTCATCAGAGGTGGGAAGTAAAGTATCCAGGTTAAGAGACCCACTTGTATCAAAAGCAATAAAAGGGTCTCGTATGAGTGCTAAATGGACTTGTTGTAGGTGAGAAGGGGTCATTAAAGCAGGGCGGGTCTTGTGAGAGAGAAGTTTGTGCAGGTGGTGAGGTGAATGTACTATAATTGACTCTTTAGGGTGAACTTTTTTGCCTCCTGCATTAATGTGGCTGCTACAGCTAGGACTTGGAGGCAAGGAACTCATCCACAGACTGTGTTGTCTAGCTGTTTTGAAAGATATGCTACTGCTTGAAATGAGGGTCCCTTTTTGTGTCTTAAGACTCCCACAGCATTGTGACCCTGAGAGGAGGCATATAGGATGAAAGGTTGAGTTGGATTAGGTACAGTAAGAGTTGGGGCTCTTAAAAGAGCCTCTTGTAGCTTGTAGAAAGAGGATTACATGGATGTAGAGGGGTCTAGAGGTTCAGAGGAGCCCTTGGATGTTCTATAGAGGGGTTGGGCTAAAGCGGCAAAATTAGGAATCTAAAAATGAAAGAAGTTTGCTAAACCAAAGAAGGAAAGAACTGTTGTGTTGTAATTGGAACTCGTAGGTCATAGAGAAGGGCCTTACAGTCAACAGTGATTGGACATGTGGTGGGAGTGAGAGTGAGCCCCAAATATTTGACCTTTGGTGAATCTGTCTGGGCTTTGGCTGGAGAGACCCTATACCTGTTTTGACAGAAAGTTAAGAAGAATGGCAGTGTGTTGCATTGCCAGAGTATGAGAGGGAGAGCAAAGGAGGAGGTCATCTATGCATTGAAGCAGAACACTCGGTTTGAGGTTAAGGGCCTCTAGGACTGTTGCCAGAGCTTGGCTAAAGAACTGAGGACTATCCCTGAACCCCTGGGACAGTACTGTCCATGTAAGCTGTAGGGATCAGATAGTGTCTGGGTCCATCTATGTAAAAGTGAAAATATTTTGGCAGTTTAGGTGTAAGGGAATAGTAAAGAAAGCATCTTTGAGTTCTAACACTGTAAAGTAGGTTGCAGATAGGGAAATATGAGAGAGCATAGTACAAGGGTTTGGTACTACAGGGTGAATAGGTGTAACTGCATTATTTTTTTGGGCGGGGGTTTCTGGTACCAGGAATTGAACTCACGACCTTGTGCTTGTCAGGCAGGCACTGTGCCACTGAACTAAACCCCCAGCCCCCTGCATTATTAATAACTCTAAGATTGTGAACTAAATGGCAGGAGCCATTAGGTTTGATTACTGGAAGGATGAGGGTGTTATAAGGTGAGTGTGTGGCTTTAAGGAATCTGTGAGGAGACATTTATGGGTTTGAGTACCCATTCGTGTTGAGGGGCTATTGGGTATGGGGGAATGAAGGGATAGGTGGATGGGTCCCTGAGGTGGCTGGTGACTGTCAAGCAAGGGCTGGCCTTGGGGCCCCCAAAGCTGGGAGGAGAGCTTGGATTCTGTTTTGTTCCCTTTAAACTGACTTAAAACTGAAGGAACTGGGTTTTAAATTGAGATTTTTTTTTTTTTTTTTTATCTTTTTAGATTTAAAGGGCTAGAGAAAAAGATGGAGAATGAGAAGAAGATAGGGAATCAGGGAGAGAGAGAGAGAGTGGGAAAGGGAAAGAGAAAAATAAAGAGAAATAGAAAGCTGAAGGAGAGAAGGACGTGCCCTGGGAGCAATAAAGGCTTGTATATAAGAAAGTGTTTTTTTTTGTTGTTGTTGTTGGTTTGTTTTTGTTTTTTTCCGGTACCAGGAATCGAACTCATGACCTTGCGCTTACCAGGCAGGCGCTGTGCCACTGAGTTAAATCCCCACCCCAGAAAGTTTTTTATTTGCAGTTGTGGTAGCAAAAATTATTTAGATCTCTGAGAATATTAATGTCAATTTCCCTTTTTTGGCCATTGGCTCTCATTGTTGAGTTTATATTGAGGCTAGGCTGTTTGGAAATAGATTAACCATTTTGATTTGACAGTGTCTGAGCCCCAGTGCATTTATGTTGGGCAACAGACAACAGAGTGGAGTGTATTTTGGAGGATAGGAATTAGTATTCCCCATTTTGTGGCTGAATTAAAAGGCAAGCTTAAGGGCTGGGGATTTAGCTCAGCGGCAAAGCGCCTGCCTGGCAAGCGCAAGGTCATGAGTTCAGTTCCTGGTACCAGAGAAAAACAAAAACCAAAAAAAAAAAAAAAAAAAACAACATTACAAAAGGCAAGCTTAATAGTCTGGTCTTGAAACCTCTGGGAGGATCATCACCCTCACCAGGATGCAAGAGAGGATAAAATGCCCAAATCGGTCTTCCCAATCATCACCAAGGAGGCAGACAGGTGTCCCAAAGGAGGTGAAGGAAGAGAGGAAGTCCTGATGTGGGCCCATGGTTTTTGGCAAATGACAGAAAATGAGGCAGGAACTCCCAGAATGGAAGAAGGCTCACCTGTGAGAACTGGAGCTGGCTGGTGTTGGATAGAGGCCTGCAGCAGCAAATATTAGGCCAAAGGAGAAAAGGAAAAGTGGTTCATTGATGGGGGGAGTGGGGCTGAACCAAAGGAGAATAATTGCCCCTTTGTAGGGCCACACAGCCTGCTCGGAATCATGGCACCAAAACGTTAGGGTTTTTGGCACAAGTAAAAACCAAACAAAGTAAAAAATGCGTTTGTTGCAGGAATGCAGACCACAGCAGAAAGATGTGGAGCTTCTGAGGGCCTGGCTGGAGGAACAAAGGCTATATAGGGCCAGGTTGGGGGTGGGGTTTAGGAGATGGTCTGTGTGACTTGGTGGGCAGTGATTGCACAGGGGGCAGAAAGAGGGAAAGAGGATGTTGTAAAAAAGGAAGTAGGAAATTATAATATGACTGGGGAGAAGTGAGGCAGAGCCTGCCACATGGCCTCCAGTAGGCCACACCATATTGGCTAACTGCCATGATGACTTGGCAGGGTTTTCATTCAGGTGGAAAACCCATCAATTATATCCCTTAGTGATTGTGAGCTGATCAGGTCCACAATCTCCCAAATGAGTGTATAGCAAAGCTAAATAAAACAAAGTGAATGGAATGATTTCAGGGCTCCAGGAGGATCAAAGCCTTCTCACAGAATTTGAGATTCTCTCAGGGCTAAGACCAAGACCTACTCTGGGTGGCCTGTATTTATTTAGGTATCAGAAGAAGGGAGGAGGGAGTACTTAAGAAGGTTGGAATTACTCAAGGAGTTCTCCAAGTAAGGTATTAATTTAATCCTTAAAAAGGAGTGAGATGCCAGAGGCTATAGTCTTTATCTAGCTGAGATCAGATCCAAGTCTTTGGCTGCGATCTTATCTTATCCTTTGAGGCTTTCTGGCTTCATCCACCACTACAGGTTTTTGTAGGGATTAGTGACTCACAGAGGTTCACTTACTATGAGTCCATCGCCTACTTCCAGACAAGCAGCCTAGGCTTTAGACAGATTCACAAGTAAACACAAAAAGTCAATTGGTTAAATTAAGTCCTGCTCAGGGTTGCTTCATAGTAGTCTCCATCACTTTGGCTGGTCCCAGGTCGGATCTAACTCATCCTTGTCAACTTCTTCTCCAGATCTGGATTCACGATACAGCCAGACAGCATGTTCTAGCAAAACACAAGCATATCCTCAACTTCAAATTAGCTTTTTCTTTCTTTTACCTGATGGAATTGTCTTTCTGTTGTACTTTCATCTTTTGTAGAATTTAAAAAGTTAATAGTATATATTACCAAGTAAAGTCTATTATGAGGTGTGAATTATGTAGGGAAATAGTCCCTCTTTTGTTTTTGTAATTGAATTTTGATTGTACAGTGAGAAACCTGTATCCTATATTCTGGAAGAGGAAGCTGTCACATAGCCTCCCTTACTCTATGATGACCTTTTTTTTTTTTTTTTTCCCAGTACACAGGAATCGAACTCACAACCTCGAACTTGGCAGGCAGGCGCTGTGCCGCTGAGCTAAATCCCCAGCCCCCGATGACCTATCTGTGAAAACAGAAGCAAACTGAATTAATTTGTCTGACAGATAATGACAAGAACACCAGAGAAGTTAGGTAATGTAGATTGCCAAGAGGATGAAAATTGTTATAACCACTGTTGTTGAACTGAAGAAAAAGGAACAATAAGAGTTTGTACCTCATGACTAAAGCCATTGAAAAGGACCCCAAGACTGCCGAAGGACCCCAGTGGGCATATGTTGAGTTGGGCAAAGCCAATTAATATTACCAAGTCTGAAAATCAGTTAGGATTGCAAAATGATTAACCTGGATCCTAAGAGTTTGGGGCACAATATGTCTCTGTTGGATAAGGTGACCCAAATCTGAAAAAGACTGTAATTAAAGCAAAACTGTTTTTATTAGCTGTATAATCTAAACTGAGGAAATTTTTTACTATAACTCTAAAAGGCCAAAGTTATATCACATTTTTTGAGACAAGAGGCAAAGTTTCCATTTTGGGAATTATGTTCTTTTAAGTAATCCTTTTAAATATCTCCATTACTGTAAATCTTAGGGAATATGATTTTTCTAACTAAAGGCAAATTTTTTTTATCTTGAGGATGGAGACAGTCTTTTAAATCAATCACTTTGAGAGAAAAATGTAAAGGCTTTTCTTTCAGTGTCAATTGTAATGGAGAGAGAAAATCCTATTCCCTCTGAGGCTTTATTCTCTGCAAGGAAGAACAACTTTTTGCATCCATCCAAGTCAGCAATCCAGCACCTTTGTTACTGTGGACCTGTAGCTGCACTACCTGGAGGCTGTCCATACTTGTGTCTAAAAGCCCTTTGAAAGGTTTTTCCTTCAAATGATCAATTCCTCTTTTTTAACCCAACAGATCCTTTTTTATATAATTTTAAAATTTCTGTCAAGGAAAGAATGACCAATTGAGCCATACTAGAGTCTGGGGTGATCTGGGTAGAGTTTTGAGTAAACTGAATTATAACCTTGATTTCCCCTGTATTTGGGCTCTTGCCTCTGGCTGCAGCCTCCACTCAGTTGCCTTGGGGCTGGACAAGCTGCTGGCAGCGGACACTAACTGTCCAAACGGTTCTATGCTTGCACTCCCCCTCCCCAGGTGGTGTGTCGGTCACCACCTCTGCAGCAATGGCTGCCAAAAAACTTTTTTCCCCTCTGATCTGGGCCACTGTGACTCTTACAGCTGAGAGCAATGCCAGCGTAAGGGGTGTGGCTGGCTGTTGGCCGGCCCCTTAGCAGAGGTGCCCAAGAAGCTTTTTGTGGGGGAAAGGAATGGGGATGGGCGCAGCCATTGTTGTCGGTTGACCCCAGGCACTGGGCGTGCTGGCTGCCGCTCCCATTCCAGCAGCTAGATGTCCCGGTTCTGCCCAGATTCCAAGCACAGATGCTATTTGCACCGAGTAAACTTTCGGAGCCAAAAATGCACATGCAAGTGCCAGTGGTGACAGTGGCAGTGGGGGGAGCCCGGGCATACTGCAGTCATGTCCTGCCTATTTGGTCCCGGGCACCCAGGCCTATAGATGGTGGCAGGCATGGACACACTGGCGCTTAGGAAATCCCAGCCGAGTCCCCTAGGACCACAGCAGGGGCCCTCCCTGCACCGGTCTGCTCCCCTCCCCTGGGTGGCTCCATGGCACTCTGAGCCAGCCTTGCACAACTTAAAAGGATTTTCTTTTGTCTTCCCTATCTGATTGAGTAAAGCTAGAGTGTTTAAGCTCTACTGGTGTTGCCACTGCTTTGCCGACCTTTTCCTGCTCAGGCTTGGGACGTGATTTTTAAGTACTGCTCTGAGCCATATACTTTGTGGTTGTAAAACCCCTTCTAACCAAAATCTAGAAAAGTAAATACATGAGACAAGCCTGCAAAAAAGATTTCTACATACATATACATCAGTGGTACTCAAAACTCTGTTCCATTTTTAACTACTAGTAATTCAATACACCTTTCTCTCCTTGGTTTCTCTTTAAGCTCATGTATTTCTCTGGTCCTAGTGAAATTGCACCAAGTTTTTACATCTGATGACGTAAATACCAATGCACACCTGTGCTGAATACTGGCCCTGACCAATTCCCTTCTCTCCCCTGTTGTGCACACTTGAGAAGCTTTCCCATCTCCCGCTTGTATTTTTTCACTGGGTGTCCCTGTTGAATGCGAACTTGCTGTGACCCGCATGGCTTCTGCTGTTCCCAGGGAAAAACGGCAATGGGATGAGGAAAATAAGAGAAGAGACAAAGCTGAGGTCAGGTGGAGTTCTCTCTCCCTTGATGGGAGGAGAAGAACTGAACAACAACAGTAGGGGCATTTATTTATACTTTTCACAAAGTTAGTACTAGGAGACACAGTGTTCCCTAGTGACTAATGACTGGAATTGTCTCAGGCAAGGTGTTTTTCTCAGGACTGAAGTATTTCCAGCTTTAGCTGCTCCCAACACTGCTGCCCTTACTTTCAACAGAAACTTTAATCACCTGGATTACTTTTTGGTACCTTTTCACTGATCCTAATTCTTTAATAAACTGCTCACTCATACTTTGTATCATTTTGTTTAGCTCAAGTAACTTTTTCTTAGTGTCTTTTGTAAACTCACTGATCATTTTAATAAGTCTATTATCCATGTAGTCATATCTTGTATCAGCTTCCTGAGCACATTATTGATCTGTTTCTTCATCTATCAGTTTCAATAATTTAGTTGATTGGCTTTTCATTGCCTCTTCTTCAATGCTTCATGGACTATCTTTGGGAAAGTTGGGAGATTTTGGAGGCATTTTGTTGCCTTGTCGTTCTTGTTTCTTTTTGGAGTATGTGGAGGTTTGGTGGTCAACTTTAGTGGAAAGACTGTGTTGGTAGTATGAAGATCTGATTAGTTAGTGTCTGCTTTGTAACTATTCACTCTGGGCCTCTACCACAAGGTCCAACCACCTCTGTTCATTCAGGAGGGGAGGCTGCAATGTAATTGACCCAGCACCAAAGTTCTGTGGCAATGGGTCATAGTATTATTAACTACACAAAGGCTATACAAAAATTAGCCTACAGAGAAAATCAATTAACAGCAACAACTATGCCTCCCTAGAAATAGCAATAAAATCAGCAACAATACCAATAGTAGCCTTAAAGACAAACTGGGTATTCACATCCCCCATGAACTTCCTCTCAACACTAGTAAGGGACAAGAAAAGCCTGCACAGCCACACTAGGGCCTCTAAGATTGGATTCTATAAGCACAGTGGGAGGAAAGCATGGCTTCCTCATTCACAAAGATGTGAAGGTAGAGGGCTGAATAAACTCTAGGATGTGGTTCTGCTGGGTGTGTAAGGCAACAGAAAAGCAGAGCAATGGAGCTGAATGAGTAATGTGATTCATCCTAGGAAAGGGAAGCCAGGGACAGGAAGGATTAAGGGGGGCGTGTAGAGGTCATTTGGGGGCAAAGGACCTGGGGCAGGAGAGAGCAACTCAGAAACTTAAGTCTCTGTCTCTCAGTGACCTGCCCCACCTCCTATCACCTGCTCATTGTTTTTCCCTTCAATTTCAGAAAGCAAGTGTAGTTACATATTTACTTCAACTGTCCCTTTCCCCAATAAAAACATTTATCTCCATGTGAATACATCCTTCCTTCTGCCACAATTAAGAAATTTCCCTAGCCAGGTACAGGGGTGTAAGCATGTAATTCCTGCTACCTGGGAGGCTGGGGCAGAAGGATTGTAATTTTAAGGCTAGCCTGAGCAACATGGATAAGACCCCAACTCAAAAAAGGTAGGGGGTTCGTTTTCTGAGGCAAGAGGTAAAGAAGTATATAGCTCAGGGGTAGAGTGCTTCTGCTTAGCATGCACAAAGCTCTGGATTTGATCTCCAAAGCTGCAAAAAGTTTTTTTCTTTCCTAATTCCAATTTCTCTGAATTCTATTTCCAGTCTGCTTTCTAAGTGTGTTCTAACTTTTACTAGCGTGATAAAATACCTGGGATTATCAATTTATGAGGAATCTTATTTTAGCTTCTGCTTTCAAATGGTTCAGTTCATGGCCACTTAGCTCCAGGGCATTTGGATCTGTGGTGAGGTGGTGTACATCATGGTGGGAGGGCATGGCAGAGGAGGCTTTGTTCCTCCTGGCAGCTGTGAAGAAAACAGGCAGGAAGAGGCTGAATTCTCAATATTCCCTTCAAGGGTGCACCCTAAAGACATAACTTCCTTCCTAAAGGTTTTACTACTTCTCTACTGCACCGTGCTGAGGACCAAATCTTTAACATTCTAGCCCTAACTACAACACTAAGGGATCCAGTATGCCCTTTCTTGTTTATACCTTGTCCTCTTGGCATGCACAAAGGTTCCTGCCTGTCTCATTCAAATGAAATAAATATTTCCTGAGTATTTCTCTGAACCTAAGGTAGCGTCTAGCTATACGTTTATCTCTCACCTTCCTACAAGAATGAAACTATTGGGAGGAGTTGTTTAAACTTTGATTCCATTCCTTACCTTACTTGTCACTGCTTGAATCATAGAGAACTTTCACCTAGTTCATCAGAAGTCCCAGTTATCTGTGAACAGAACCATGAGGGAACATATTATACAGTATGGCCTCTCTTCTACTACTTTAGTTTCTTTAATTGGACCAAAAAGAAATGTTAATCCAAATGTACCCTCCTCCACCTTAAGTCCTGTATGGAATCTGGACTTGCCATGAGAAAACTGACCCTTGAGTGTTCACCACTGGAATGAGCAAAAAGGAATGTAGTGGGTCCTTCTCAGCTCTTTGCAACTGGAATTCAGGCATCAATTCAGGCACCGAAGTTCCAGTCCTGGGCTTTGTGAATACTATGCAGCTAGTTAACACTTTTCAGGTAACACGGTAGAGCTCTTATGATGGAGGGCAGAGAGCTGTGGCCTGGGAAGCTGTAGGTCTTCTAACCTGGCCTTGTGCAAATGATCTCCTCTGGGTTAGGGAATGATTGTGGACACTTAGGTTTCCTCCATAAATATTATGACCTAAAATGCCTAAACACTTAAAGTGACACCAGTGCATTTAAAAACAATTAGCCTCAAATAAAATGCTAATTTTTAAATTAAAATGACTCATTTCTTTTTTTCAGTACTAAGGACTGAATCCATGGTCTTGTTCATGCTGGGCAGGTACTCACCACTAATCTATATCTCTGGCCTTTTAAAATTTTATTTTGAAGCCGGGCATGGTGGCACATGCCTGTAATCCCAGAACTTAGTAGGCTGGAGCAGGAAGATTGCCCCAAGTTCAAGGCCAGCCTGGGCTACATAGTGAGTTCAAGGCCAGCCTGAACTACACAGTGAGACCCTGTCTCAAAAATAAATAAATAAATAAAAAATAAAATAAAACTCATTTATTTTGAGCCAGGTCTCATTGAGCTGGCCAGGCTGGCCTTGAACTTCTGACCCTTCTGCCTTCCAAGTAGCTGGGGTTACGGGATGCACAACCACACCTGACACAGTTATGGAATTGTTTACAATCCAGTACTCTCATGAAACACTGGCTGTCTTCTGAATTTGTCAAATAATTTTTTTTTCAGGCTTGGGGATCAAAAATAGGGCCCTGAGCATGGTAGGCAAGTACACTAACACTGCACTCCATCCTCAGCCTGTGTGGAATAAAAGCTGATGACACAATCATCTTGATAAAGTATCAGGATGAGGTTAGTAACTCAGACAACTTTACTTAGCAAATATACTTACCTATCAGTGTGAAATATTACAAACTGAAATATTTAAAATTTAGACTGAAATAAGACAGAAACTTCTATAGTTATAGTGATTTTAGCCCTATCTTTGGTGAGGATATGATTCTTAAGTATTGCTGTCTATGATAAAATGTGTGCATTCTATCCATTTATTTTACCCTTAAACAAATTGATATTTTCATTATAAAAGTTTTGTATCTACATGAAATCAAATGCAGAAAATTATACTAAAGTAGAAGGAAAAAAAGACATTCATATTACTACCCACAATAAACATTGCCATACATGCCTCAGCCTCCCTAGTCCTGAGATATAGGCCTGCCCAACCACACCTGGCTCTCCAGTCCTTTTTAAAGTTTTATTTTGAACAATATACTTTCTTTTTTTTTTTTTTTTTTTTTTTTGAAGGTTTCTATGAATTTGAAGATTTATGTCAGTCATCTTTGGCATTGAGGCACTCTGAAATTTTTTTTGGTCTTTTTGAGACAGGGTCTTGCAATACAATTCAGGCTGGCCTTGAGCTCACTTTGTAGCCCAGGCTGGTCTCAAACTTGCGACGATCCTCCTGCCTCAGCCTTCTGAGTGCTGGGATTACAAGCGTGAGCAACCACACCCGGCTTTAAAGGTTTAGTGTTTCGCAAAAAATCTAGCCCAGGCTGGCCTCAAACTTGTGATCCTCTTGCCTCTCAAGTATGCAAGATTTTTGGCATTGGTTTTGGTTTATTTATTTCTTGCAAGGCTGGGCACTGAAGCCAGGGCCCAAGCACTCTAAAACCGACCTACTTCCCTAGCCCCCTTGTTTATTTACATAATTCTAGAATGCTCCTTTCAATTTAATATCCTAGTTTTGTGTATTTGTGTGTTTAATGTGCTTTATCTCAATTTCATGCACTTCTTAGTTTTTGGTAAGTCTCTTCGTGGAATTGTCTTTAAAGCTTGCTGGTATCTATAAAATTTTATTGTTTTGAGGATGATTTTCAGTTTTTACAAATGCTCATTAAGAACCAGGTCTGAAGGATTTATCCTGGTTCTTCGTGAGCAAAGGAAATTCAACTAATATGTATTTGTATGTGAGTCTTAAAAAGATTTTAAAAAATTGAATGTTTAAAATATATTTCTAGGGGGTGGAGGTACATGTAGCTTAGTAGTAGAGCTCTTGCCCAGCATGTGTGGGGCGTTTGGGTTTGATTTTCCAGTACTAGCAAAAAAAGTCTACACACACACACCCCAGTTCAGCTCAGTCATAATAACTGAGTCATCAGCTCTGCTGATGTCCACAGCAGAGCTACCTACAGATAAAGCACCTATTTTTACCTCATACTCAGTGATTAAAAATATACACCTTGTTTCTGAACCATAGTTTCTTCAGTATCTATTTAGTACTGATTGAACCTAGTGCCTTTGTATTGACCTACATATCTAGTCTTCTATTTTTTATTTCTGAGCCAGGGTCTCACTAAGTCGGTAAGTTGCCCAAGGTAGGCTCCAAACTGTAATCATAGTGCCGCGGCCTCTTAAGAGTGCTGGGATCACAGGCATGTGTCACCACATTTGTCTAATTTTTGCAGTTTAAAACTTTCCCTGCTAACATGGCCCTGGCAGACATGATGCCTTTTCCCCCTGAAATAGAAACTTTAAAAATTTCCCAAGATACTAACAAACCATCTGGAACATAGATTCTGAGCACAAAGCAGTTTAGTTCATCTAAATAATAATAATAATAATAATAATAATAAATTCTCAAAAAAAATTCTCATCACCTGTCTCATTAGGTCCTAAAATTATAGAAAGCGGCCTGGGAGCCCCTACTTGGGATGGAGCGTCATGGCCTCTTGACCCTGACCCAGTGTGACAGCCTTAGCTGGTGCTTCTCCCGGGATAACCTTAGAGTGGTAAGTTTCATCCTCATGGGCACACAACTTGGTGTCACCCAAGGTAGGCAGGGCACATTCTTTGTCTTTTTGAGCTAGCAACCATCCCTATTTTGTCCTTCTACACATCTGCAAGACACAAGTCCTGGCTCCTGGGATGTGATCCTTTAGGTCCTCCGCTAGCTGATGGATAAAGTCCTGAAACAGGAACTCAGAAATAAGATCTCGTAGGAGGCCTATTTCCCCAGAAGTCTCAGGAAACATCACACAAAGGGTACAGTGGTCGTGATCCTAACTGTTCCTTCCACAACTGCATCCTCTGAGTCTGGGATCTTTGATGCTCACGAAGGGGAAAGGCTCTGTGGGTCTCTGAGCTCCAGCTCTGGGACGCGACCATACTTACTGGACAGGCCCAACTTTGTGTATGACCTTCTTGCGCAAGGAGGTTTGAAGCCCTGAGCGTCCCGTCTTTCCCGCCGCTGCCCCAGCCCCCAGGGCCCGCAGGAGTCCGCACGCGGGCCCCTCCGGCGCCCTCAGCGCCCGCACCCGGGCGGTTCCCGTGTGGCGCCCCGCACTCTTCCCGAGTCTATTCTGACAGAGATTTGTCCAGAACGGAAACTTCACCTAGGTGCTTGGGTGCGTCAAGTAAAGTTCCTTAAACTTACACAGTATTATAGTATACTTTTCTAAAGATTCCTAAACACTATGGCAGAAACCTTCTCGTGGCGGGTGACGAATACTGTAATTCCCAGCGTCCACCGAACTCCTAGTAGGCTTTTTGTTTGCAAATGCGACCTCTGCCTGCAGGAGCTAATTTCCCAGGCGCCCGACACCACCTGTGCCCGAACCCCATGGCCACGCTGCGGCGTCTCCGGAGCCGCGGACGGCTGCGAGGCGCACTGTGGACCCTTCGCTCGCGACGCTTGCATTCCGCCCCAGGCCTTCCGACTCGGGTAGCGCTGTACTCGCCCCGGGGCGCGACCACCTCTTCCGTCTGCGCTCCTCCGTCTCTCGCAGGACCCCGCGGGGGAAGCCGGGGACCCCGCGTCAGAGCAGGCGGCGCTCCGAGGCGCGGGCCGGGCGCACGAGGTCCGTCGCGCAGCCCCGCCCGGTGGCTCCAGGGTCGTGCTCCGGTCCGGGTCGGAAACGCCCGGAGGCGGGTTTTCGGTGCGTGCGCCGCGGACCCGCTT